CACACACACACAGAAGGGGAGAGAGTGTAGATCTCACGAGGCAGCAACATTTTGCACAAAATTTAGTCAACAACTCACCAGCCAGTTTTACGGCGAGCGGGGGCCTCGCCCTCAGTGTGCCCAGCACTTGGTGACTGCACACCAGCTCCACCGTCTCACCCAGCCAACCAACCAATCAAACCAACCTCCCAACCAACCAACCAACCAACCGACCAACCAACTCGGGGTGACTACACACCAGCTCCACCGCTTCGCCCAACCAACCCACCAACCAACCCACCCACCCACCAACCAACCAACCACCAACCACTCACCAGCCAACGTCACGGCGAGCAGGTGCCTCGCCCTCAGCGTGCCCAGCACGGGGTGACTACACACCAATCAACCAACCAACATACCAACCGACCAACCAACCATGCAGGTAATCACATTCAGCCAACCCACCAACCAACCACCACCAACTCACCAGCCAACCCACCAATCAACCAACCCACCAACCAACTCACCAATCAACCAACCCACCAACCAACTCACCAGCCAACCCACCAATCAGCCAACCCACCAACCAACTCACCAGCCAACCCACCAACCAACCCACAAACCAAACAAAGACCAACCAATCATCAGCCAGCGTTACGGCGAGCGGGTGCCTCGCCCTCAGTGTGCCCAGCACGGGGTGACTACACACCAACCAACCAAACAACCAACCAACCAACCAACCAACCAACCAACCAACCAACCAACCAACCAACCAACCATGCAAATATCAATCAACCAAACAACCCACCAACCAACCCCCCAACCAAACAACCAACGAACCAACCAACCATGCAGGTTGTCACATTCAGCCAACCAAACAACCAACCACCAACCAACTCACCAGCCAGCGTCACAGCGAGCGGGTGCCTCGCCCTCAGTGTGCCCAGCACGGGGTGACTACACACCAGCTCCACCGCCTCGCCCAGCGACCACTCGCACGTCACCGGCACCAAACCCTCGCTCGACGCGCTCTCCTCGCTCGTGGCCGATGACGACGACGACGACGATGACGATGACGACGACGCTGATTGGCCGCCAGAGGAAGAGGGGGCGGAGCCACTGCCGCCGCCGCCGCCGCCGCTGCCACGGTCGCTGCTACTGCTCGACGCTCGGCTGGACATGAGTCTTGATTCGTGTCTTGATTCGAGTCTTGATTCGTGTCTGGAGGCTTGTCTGGAGGCGTGTCTGGAAACGTGGCCAGAGGAGTGTTTGTGGGTGTGTCTGCGGTCGTGGTGACGTTCGTCCGCGTCGTCTGAGGAGTCTGATTTGTAGTTTAGGCGGAACCCGCTGCCCGGGCCGGCGTGATCCTGTTGGTTGTTACATCGGAGTGGGTGGGTGGGATTAGTTTTTGGAAGAGTGAGTTTTTACGGCATTTGCAACACAATTCATTGTTAGGTCAAAAGAGTGCCGGAGCTTTGAGGTTTTAGTTTGGGAAGATTTTTGCGGCATTTGCGACACAATTAGGTCAAATGAGCGCCCAACATTAGAAGGATTTAAGATCGTTTTAGAAAGATCTTCACGGCACTTGCAACACAGTTAGGTCAAATGAGTGTCCAAGATTAGAGGCTTGAGGGTTTACCTTTAGTTACAATGCTAAGACACTTGCAACACAATGAAGTGAATAAAATTAGGCCAAATAAGTGTGGAAGATTAGCGGTTTTTGGTCAGGAAGAATTATACGATACCGTACTTGCAGCACATTATATAGGTCATACGAATGCCGACGATTAGAGAGAGGTGTTGTAAGTTTTTGGAAGAGTTTTACAGCTCATGCAACCCAATTAGATCAAGATCAAGGTCCCATGAGTGCCAAAGATTAGATAGTTTTAGCTTTAGTTTAGGAAAATGTTTAAAGACTTGGAAGAAAACGAATTGAAGGAATTACGTCATGTTATAAGTTCCGTAGATTAGTGGTTATAGATATACAGGTATCATCATCATCATCATCATCATCATCATCATCATCATCATCATCATCATCGTCATCGTCATCGTCATCGTCAGCATCATCATCATCATCATCATCATCATCATCATCAT